AACTTGGGTCACTCTGCCAAGAACAGTGGATATGTAGTTAGAAAGTCCTGCGCATGGGTCGGGGCAATCCCAAGCACAAATACAGGCTGGGCAAGGAGTGGATTGAGAGCAGCCCTGAAGGGAAGGACTGGAGAGTGTTAGTGGATGAAAAACTGTGAGCCAGCCATGTGCCCTCAGAGTCCAGAAAGCCAACCATGTCCTGTGTTGCATCAAGAGCAGTGTGGCCAGCAGGTCGAGGGAGGGGATTCTCCCCCCTCTGCTCAGCTCTCGTGAGACCCCACCTGCAGGGCTGGGTCCAGCTGTGAGGCCCCCAACATAAGGAGGACATGGAGCTGCTTGAGCGGGTCCAGAAGAGGCTACGAAGATGCTCAGGGGGCTGGAGCACCTCAATTATGAGGCCAGGCTGAGAGAGTTGGGGGTATTCAGCCTGGAGAAGAGAAGGCTCCAGGGAGAACTTATAGTGGCCTTCCAATACTTAAAGGGGGCTACAGGAAAGGTGGGGAGGGACTCTTTATCAGGGAGTGGTGGGATAGTACGAGGGGTAATGGTTTTAAACTAAAAGACGGTAGATTTAGATCAGATATGAGGAAGAAATTCTTCCCTGTGAGGGTGGTGAGGCCCTGGCCCAGGGTGCCCAGAGCAGCTGTGGCTGCCCCCTCCCTGGCAGGGTTCCAGGCCAGGTTGGACGGGGCTGGGAGCACCCTGGGCTGGGGGAAGGGGGCCCTGCCCGGGGCAGGGGGGTTGGAACTATATGGTCTTTAAGGTCCCTTCCAACCAAAACCACTCTATGATTCCCTTCAAGAGGGGCACTCTTGGTTCAAGGGTTTGTATCGAATGCTGTGAGCATTTATTAGACCTAGCCAAGGACTGCAGAGGTGGGAGAGAAAGAAATTTGGGACTGAAGTTTGATATTGTCTTTATCGTCACCTCCTTATTCAGCAATTATTATTCTCATGTGGGCCATCTGGGTCGTGTAAATCAATGCAAATCAAAAACAGTGGGAATTTTGGTTGCATCTTTCCAGAGAATAATTTAATTTTTCTCCTTCCTTACATCATCTGTTTCAGAAATCTGTTGCAAGAATTGAGTATCTGAATATACAGAATCTAATAGTATGTTTCTTCGAGACTTAATTTCACTCTTACAGTAGAGCCAAACTTTTTTGACAATTGTCAATCAAACCCAGTTGTGGTGCGTTTTAGGTGTTGAAACTGAATATAGCCTGCATATATTCCTGTAAAATATTAGCTAGTTCTGAAATGCACTTGTTTTATGCTTCAGTTATTTCTTGTGAGTTTGTTTCATTTGTTGTTTGCCTTTCTATTATTTTTAATTTTTATAATGTTTAGACTAGATCTGAGATGGTTAGTTTATCGGAAAATATATGGTAGCTTCAGCATAGAAATATTTTCAAATGTCATAATTAGTGTCATAAACATGTATGTCAAAAACCACTTAAAATAATTAGATTCATTCTGTACTAATTAATTTAATGTTTAAGGTTTCAATGTATTTTCATGTAAAATTATGTGAATTGCTTCATAACAATATTTGCAAATCATCTGGAGCAAAGACATATTGCTTTAATTCCTTCTATCTTGAATTCCCTTATTCTTTAAATTTTTGGTATAAAGCAGGATGCGGCAGGTATCTGTGATCTTTTCCAAAGGCTTCAGATGTATATTGAAAGGAAAGCTGATTGCTATTGGCACTTCATATTTTTAGAATTTTACTGCAGCTGTGATATAATTGCCCTCTGAGCTGGTGTTTAACTGCAGAGAATATGGAGACATTTATGGTAATTTAACAAATCTACTGTATTGAAAGATAGATGAATCAGACAAGGAAATATTTGCTTATTAAAGGTTTCTTTTGTTTTTGTTTCTGTTACTTTGATTTGGGCATTTTGTCTCTTTTTATAACTTACTCATCTTTTGGGAAGTCTGTCTCTTGTAATTTAAGCATCTACCCATTTTTTAATGTCATCTTGGAAATCCGTAATAGTACAAATTGATGGTTCTGGCTTTGATTCTTTCCAGTACAGGGGAAGTATACTGTTACAGTTACATACTGACATAATCATTTGGCTGATTAAAAATTAAGACTGTGTCCTAAGAAAGGATTTATTTAATAGCCCATTGCTTAACCTGCACAGAGAGTAAATTAATCCCCTCCCACTCTCCCAGAAGTGGCGTTTGGGTTTATCCTTGGGAATAAGACTGCAGTTTATGTTTGGAAAAAGACGTCATGTGTTCTGATAGCCTTAAACACATTTGCAATTAGTTCTGGGTGAACCATGAATAGGGAATAATATATGGGGGGTAAATACATTGGTGTACCCATAATACATTAGTTTATAGAATATATATATGGAGGTCAATATAAGACGATGAGTGTAAAATCCCGCTATAGCATCTTTATAGTAGCACTTTCTGTACATATCTGAACTACATTAGAACTGAAATTTCCATACTCTGTAGTCTGTTCTTTGGCTTGTTCACGACGCAGGCATCTTAGCTAGCAAAACCAAGCAATCTCTGTTTGACAGAAGAGTGGAACAAGAGTTTATATCCTGGAAATCAGCCAGCTGTACACTGTAGGAATTACCCCTTCAAACCACCTTATTTTCTTTCTTTTTCTGAAGCAACTGCTTTTATGAACCATGTTTTCCACTCAGTAAGTCTACAACCACTATTTCCTGACCTTCCCTGTGGATGAGAGGAAGTAAACTGCCCTTCTTTGTTAATCAGTAGAGCTGAGATCGCTCCAATACACGAAGCTTTATATCGTGTGAAATTTTGTTTTTTCTGACTAATGAAAATGCTAGCAGAGTATGCTAATTTCCATTGGCTGATTCTATTTTTTTTTTTCTTCTTTAATCTGAACTTTCTTTTGTGTGACCTCTAGCTTTGTGTATGTAATTGATAATAACCTGCTTCAAAGCCTTGTTATGAGGGGAGAAATCTTGAGAGTTTGTTTTTTGTCACACACTTCTCTCCTCCTTCTTAGGCCAGGTCTGCAGCTGTTTTGAGGACATAGTGACTAAAATGCACGTGAGATCTCTTAGTAAAAATATTGGCTTCTTAGTCTGCAAAGCCAGTGTTTTAGTACCACAATATCCTTTATTTCTTTCTCATTTGTTCATATAGACAAATGTCAGATAGAAAGACTACTGAGATTTGTATTTCAAATGCACTTCAGGCAGATGGAATATTAAAACACCTGAGACTAAACTGAAATCAAAGACACTATGTAATTTCTGTGAAGGTATTTGCTCCCTCTCAGTTATAGGCCAATGTTTTATTGCCAGAAAATGAACACTGAAATAATTTGCTGATTGAAAGATACGCTCTTAGAAAGAGAGATTTTTCTTCTTAGCACTTCACTGAGACTTACGATATATGGTTTGAGTCTCTGAATCCTCCATAAATTTAATTTATAACTTCGGTAAGTAATTTTAACAGTTGATGGTTTATTGTTTCTCAGCTGTTAAATGAGTATAATAGTATTATACACAAATGGTATGATGACTAGAGTGTGTGATGTTGTAACTAGATAACATATATGATATGTTACAATATTTAAGTGCTATGAAGGCTATGTAAATACCACACAGCCAGAAAAGGTCCACTGTGCAGGAATTTTTCTCAAGGACACAACTTGATGAAAAGTTGAGGGGACTTGTATAAAACTGCAGGGGAAGGTCAGGTAGAAATGGACCCTGCTTCTTGTTGGCAGCCTTTACATTAAATTCTCTGTGATATATCATGCACTCTATTCATCAGATGGAACTCTTCAGCCTTCTGTTATCCTGATTTTGTCTGGGATAACAGGCACTAAGATGCCAGTGGTGGAGACAATGTATGGCTATAATCCAAATTCAATTTGTGACAACTCCAGGATGATGAAGTTATTGTATATCAGAGTTGGAGTCTCTGGAGTGTCAGAGCAATATCACTATGTCATTTTTTCTCTGAACACATTTACAATATAATTATTATTACATACAGTTCATATAGAAACATAGTGCTTCATGGAAGCTATGATTGTGACCTGCGTTATAAGACTTGACTCAAAGTTGGATGTGTAGAATCTGGGTTTAATCTTATGAGCAGTTTGATTCACTTATGTCTTCTGGGAAGTATTATGTGAATTTGCAACTATTTCCTGTGTGATGCTTAGGAAGTCTCCGAAGGATTTACAATATGAACAATAAGCACAAATATATTCTCTTCCCTTCTTTATCTGTCTTGTGACAGGATCCTGCTGGTTCTTTTCAAAACTTTGAAACTTCCAATAAGAGAAGCAATCCCAACATTTATTCCCTTTGTAATCTACTATATAATGGGCATTTGTTACCAAGTTGTTGAGTACTGTCTCAGTGCATGCAGTGAGGGAGAATGTCTTTGGTGTACCTTGCATCAACTCCAAGAAAGGGACCACAATCCTCTGGCACTATCATGGTAAAGAATTGCATTGAGCTATCTAGTTAGGAATTGAACATTACGGAAAGCAGAATGAAACTGTCTCTATTCATTTGTTGTGTATTACTGTCATACCTAGAATTACATTCTTGTGGAAAGATTCAGAAATATATCCCATGTTTAAGGGTTTACATTTAATCAGCAGTCACTTCAGTTGAGGATACATCTTTTTATGAAGGTCTTGTTGCCAGTATAAACATTTTGTTGACTGATGGCTAGGGTTTCTCTTTCTCTCAACAGAAATTTCAAGAAGCATCCATAACATAGAAAGGATTCAGTGAATGTATGCAATAGAAAAGTGAATATGAAGAGAAAGAATGACTGTTTAAATCCAGTCCTTTGAAAATTCAGGTCTTGTTTAGCTCCTCAATAGAAAGAATGGCTGAAAATCTATTTCATTTGAATTAAGGAAGTTGAACATTACTGCAGCAACTTAAGAAAAACCCTCTTGACTTCCTGGAAACTGAAAGAATTTTTTTTGAAGAAGTAATTGTCTCTGACATCACTAAACTGCATAGCGAGTTTTGTGAGTGGTTAGTTTGGGGTAACAGAGGAAGCAACTCCTTCACAGATAAGCAGAGAGTGCAATGTATGTGCCTAGTTATTCTCCTTTTTAGTTCAAGTTTTGCTGAGAAATTCTTTTGCAGACAGATAACATTTATTTTGCTTTCCAGAGACACACACATGCTGTTTCATAAGGATACGCCTGATTTCCAGAAATAACCATGTTTTTGTGGCTTAAACTCTTAGCATTTGGCGTTGCATTTCTGAGAGAGGATGCTTTTGTCAAAGGTAGGTAGCAACTGATATTTCTTTCTTTCATTTTCATCCCTGAATGTCCTCTGTAGAAGTTAAACAAATTAAAAGCTTTGGAAAAGTGTAGAAATAACAACTCTGTTCAGAAACTAGAATACAGTTGTATGCACTGGTGTCAGAACCTACACCAAGAAGATTGACGCATAATGTACAAGGCTAAAATGTCTTCCGCATGGTCATACGTGAGAGTTAGATGAATCTTAAAAAAAAAAAAAAAAAGATTTGTAGTTGTATGTGAAAAAGAATACATTTAGATCTCTTATGTGAAACTATTCAATATAGTCTTTATGTTTGGTTTCATCTCACGATGCAGTACTTTGTTTTCTGTGTTTAAATCCTTCAAGAAAAAATCTTCCCATCCATTTTAGCCACTCCCTGATCTCAGAATCTGCTTACAGTTCCTCAAATTTTGATTTTTACTGCAGTGGGGTTAGTAAAAAATTCTAAACATTGTAAGTTAATTTCTACAGTTGGGAAATCACTTATATTAATTTTATAAAATATGAATTATTTATTTTATAAAAACGGCTTCTTAAGGAGCCTTCAACAGTTTTCATTGTCTAATTACTCCACTTCAGGTGAATTTGTTACTTGACTTTTTTTAATTTTATAAGAGAAAGATAGAGCCCAAGAGGTTAATCCTGCAAAACATGTTAGATGTGACAGATAATGTGGGTAGCAAGAAAAGCAATTAATTTTGAGGTAATACTTTATATGAAGACAAAAAATGATCTGTTTAAGAAAATATTTTCTTGAAAAGAACATGCATCTTTCTCTGTATATGTACATTCCATCAGTTTAGTTAGTTAATGTCATTTGTGAGTGTTGATCACAGACACAAAAGCTTTTCTCTAAAGTAATGTTCACCCTAAAAAAGTGACCTGAAGCATATATTTGGAAATGGCAGCAAATTATATGCAGGGCTGAAACCTCTTTTCAAGTACATTGAATTTATTCATACTTCTATCATCATGTCACTGTAGTAACTCCAGGTTTACACTGATGTAAGCAAGAAAGTGATCTGCCTTTAGCTAAGAAGAGCATTTGAAGCCTGAGCATTAGTTCTCTTGTCCTTCAAAGTCTCTGAAAAGAGGCAGCACTGAATGAATCTAGTTGGTAGCTGTTGGATATTATAAGAAAACAAGTGAATGCTGTACTGTAGAGGAAAAGAACAAAATCTTTTGCTTTTCCTGTCCTTTTTTTTTCTGCTGTCCTACTTTCCAATTTATAAGTCTTTCTGAGACTTCCCACCGCTCCCTTTTCTCCAGAAAGGGCAGGTTACTGTCTGCTCTTTCAGCCACCTCCACAGTCAGTTGATGTGTTAGCTAACAGAGAGGGCTGGAAGACAGAAAGAGAGATAGCAGTATTTTATTTCAACTAATAGTTATTTTCTCTGTCCACACACAGTAGTCTAGCTCAAGACAGTCCCTCTCTATGTACTTTTACTAAACAGAAGAGCCTCAAAGAAATTATAATTTTTAACTCCTCTCTAGTACACTTAAAGCAATTAAGTCTCATGCTGTAGTATCAAGTACTCAACCTCACAGGCCTTGTTTTCACCATGTACTTTAGCACAGAGATTGGTTCTCCTGTTGGGGTGACAGAGCCATTATACTTCATCTTTGCTACGTAGATTACTCTGCCTTGTAGCTATGCAGGACTGGGTAGTCTTCTAGGGAGAAGTTTGTTAATGGAGGAACAACATTCGGAAAAGGTAATGTAGGCTTTGGTTTTATGGCAAGAACAATTTTAAGGCACCTGACAGTAAGTGTTGGGTGGGCTTTAGGAGTTCTTTTGCTATTAGTATTATTATTATTCTCCAAGAGCCTATCGTACGTAGTGATTTTGAAGACCTAGCAGGAGAAATTTTAAGGTTGTCTGACTTCCACCACAAGTGCAGGCATCCTATAAAATATCTCTAATTTCCTGTAATCACCAAACCACCTTTAAGAGCATCAAACTACATTAAAACAAACAAACAGTTAAGAACATATAGATCCTGCACAAAGGCCTTTTCACTGTGTAAATCCCACAAATAAAAGGCATGTATCCAGCTGGTCATCCTGGTAAGAAACAGACTAGTAATGGTATTTGTGACTGTACCTATACATACCAATATATGGTACCAATAAACACCAAACTTTGAATTTGATCTGTCCTTGTAAACATTTTCATTGCTGTAATATCCCATTAAATTCATCAGTATTTTGTGCACTATTTGTTAGTCATTCATCTCCACCTACATGGAATAGCTAGCTTTACTAAAATCTTTAGTTGCCAGATGTGTGCTTCTTAAAATCTTTAGTATAAGATTGGTAACATTTTCTAATATCTAGGCTGACTTCCCAATCAAAGAAGTTATGTTAACATACCTGACACAATGCATCAATGCCTGTTTATGCAAAATAAAAATTTAAAAAACAAAACAAAACAAACAATCCCCCCAAACAACCCAATAAGCCCCCTCTCAAAGAACAAACAAAAAACCCCAACTCCAACACCCTGCCTATCCCCCCCAAAATAGATCCCCAAAACCAAATCCACAGAAAACTCCCTTTGCTTCCATTATCGAAAAAAAGAAAAATAAATGCTTGCAGGACAAGCACTTTTTTTTTTTTTTCATTAGATCAATAATTTAGGTTCCTCCCCCACACTTCACAGAAATATTAGCAATTTGAAAGCTTTCAAAAGACTTCACCCACTTCTGAGCCACTTCCTTTATTTCAGGAAACTAAATAATTGCTTGATAGTTTTGGGTGTCACTTTTTTATTTTCCAAGTTAAAACTACCTAGCTTCAGCAGGCAAATGAAAGCTGGGGCCATGAAGTCTCCATTCTCAACAGCTGTGGAGTTTTCCACCTGGAAGTACTATGTTTTCTTCACATGGACTTCAGTGTCAGGATAGCTTATCCTATGGGTTTGACTTTCTGTGAAAAATTTTTTCATGAGTTGGTCTATCCCTTTTTCTGGAAAGAGTCTGGCAGACCTAATTTTTAAGTAGGGGAACTCAGTGATAGTGTCTCAGGACTGCAGACAGGACAAGAGGCATTGGTTCTGGACTAATGGACTAATTTCCATAGTATGGAAAAGATTTGCTAGTCATTCTGTATTCACTCACATCAGTATACTGACATACTGAGAATGTTTGACCAATATAGACCTAAAGCTGCAAAACTTCCATGCAGAGACCAGTTCTAAAGAAAATCCAGCTCTTGGTGGCACAGTATGTTGGAACCACTCCCTTTAGTTTTAATTTGGTGAATTTATGTTTATATGTTCAGGTTCTGAAGAATAAATCAGCACTGAGTGGGTTAGAAACATATATAATAAGATAAGGCAGAAGAAGTTGGGGTAGGAAACAGGATGAAGTGACTTTTCAAAATGTTCCTAGGACCAGGAATCAAGCTGTTTTACTGACTCCTGTGACCTATCTGCAGAACCACCTGCCTCCTAGGGAGCATGTGTATACATTATACAAGTAGGCAGTCTCTACGTTGAAATTGTGAATGCATTGTGTACAGTGCATGAAAATTATCCTGTTTTCTTTTGCTGTGCAGCTGCATTGTGGTACATCCTCTGCCATGCTGGGAGCAAGGAAAGGAGAACAGCAGGCCATGAAAATGTTCTGTCCTCTGTTTACACTCCTGATCTAGTTTTAAGAGTTCATATTCATAAGCATATATCTGACCCACCAGGACGGCAGAGCAAATTAACCCACGATGAACTCTCTCCTGTCATGGCTTGACTTCTATTTGTACTTATTCAACTACCTCGTTTAGAGTTGGCTCTAGTGTCTCTGCATTACCCAGTGTTTTGCAGTGCAGGTTGCCCCAAGTCATTCCCCTTTATTGGGGTGGCTGTTCCTCCTGTGCTGCCAGCCCTGGGGCTGAGGACCACAGGGAAGCGCAGCGCAGGGGTGGCTGCAGCGATGGCACCCGAGACAGAAGAGGAACAAGAGGCACTGCAGGAAGTGTCATGGGCTGGGCATGGCTTGCTAGCCTGAGTTCAGCTCTTTGTGGCTGTGAGTGAGCTCCTTTCAAGCCCCAGCAATAATGTGTGTGTTACAGGAAAGTAACACCTTGGATAGGGCTGGACTGGATGCTGTGCCCTGCTCGGGACAGACAGGCCCCTAGAGCTGCTGGGGCCGTGTCAGCCGGCCCTGCCTGGGACACAGTGGTTGTCCCTGAGCTCTGCTGCTTTCTGCATCGTGTGGAGATGTTCACATTTATTCATCTTTAATTGTATATAACTAGAAATCAAGCAGTTATTTCCAGCAAATTTACGAAGTACAGAACACCCAATACCTTTTGTGAGGATAGTTCACTCTCTTCAAAGCTCAGCTTAGGCCCTGAAGCACTTCTGTGCAAAAAATAGTAAAATGTTTTAAAGTGGCAAAACTCTGACTTCCTCCTGTAAATACGAAGATTAAAATAACAGATACAGATGCAAAAGCTGCTTCTTTCCCTGCAACTTTTACTGTTCTCTCAGACTGCTGTACTGTGTGTCCTGATGTATTTCCAGGCTATCTGTACACTTCCAAACAGATCTTGTTCACTGGTGTTTCAGTAACTGTTACAGCATTTTATCTATTTCCAGGCTTCTTTCCCTTTCAAGTAAAGCAGTTTGGGGCCTTCACTGCCAGGATTTTAGAAACTTGCTGTGAGCACTTCAGTGCCAGCTTATATTATCCATAGTGTTGTATAGCTAACAGGATCCACTTTTATTTTATACCACTACTTTGCAGAACTGTTCTTCCAGTTATTCCGCCTGTGTCAGTGCCTCCTCGGCTAACCTGCTTGCTTAGGTTTTTATTCTCTAGTTTCAAAGTCTTTTCTTACAATCTGTCTGTTCTTCATTCATAATCCCACCACCCTGCACAGAGCTCTAGAGGTATCTTTTGTTGTGCATGAATGACTTTTTTTGTTGTTGCAAAAATGTGGACTCCACGGAGCAGTATTTTTAATTGCCTTTTGAAA